AAATGCAGCTGCGGCTGGAAAACGGAAACCGAGGTTATTCGTGCTGGGGAATCCGTTCATGATGCTAGAAAAAATCCTTAATTTTTGATTTTTCTGAAAGTGCAAAATTTGAGGGTGACCTTATAATTATGAAACGCACTGTATTGTTGGGGTGAGGCTCAACAACATTAAAAATAACTTAATTAGCTGACAATGCCTTGCCACTTTTTCTTTAAAGTTTCTTGACATATTCATTCTTTACCGAGTTGCAAAGTCACTGATCCCTTCAAAGTCCATTCACTCTTTACGTGCTCCTCTGGGAAGTTAATGGTCAATTATAGCTGGCTCTTTTAATGTCCTACTCATTATCCCATCTAGGGTCAATAGGATCCTATTTCACCAGGTGTTGCGTGTTGTTGACAACTATGTTTACCCCGTTCAAATTCGAACTAGGGAAGGGTGCACAGATAAAAATTTGGTACTGGTGATGCTGCTGTCCATCATTGACTTGATCTGTGTGACTTTTGACTGACGGATTTCATAGACCTAATAAGCATATATTTGTGACTGGACAGGTGCTCTAATCCCCTAACACCATAAAGACCGTAATCGAGGTTAGATTTGCCAAGTTGCGCAACGATCGTTGGCTATGGCAGAATAGCTGGTTATATGATAAGTAGGTCATTATTGTCACCTTCTCATATTACTGGTTTCGAAGAGAGATGTGAGTAACCGAGTTTCTTGAGGAAAGCCCATTCTCTTCCGTGGCAGCGGAGTATTTCCTAGAAGATTCGTCATTAGGCAGTACCAGGCATAGCACTAGCATAAGAAACTCTGACTGTTTTTTTTTAATGTCTAGACAAGCAGTTTCCCAAATGTATTTAGGAAAACGATTTATATTTGCTGCCCTTCCGGGAATTAGGACCGCCGCAGGTTTTGTTGGATTTTCGAACGCGATTTTTACTTCTTTTCTAGGTGCTGAGTTAGATCGCTCGAAAAATCAAACGGGTCGATTTCCTTATTTAACCTTTTTTCTTTATTTACCCTTCCTTATTTACTAGAAGATTTGTGTTTACCTTAGTGATTCTTGAATACTGGGGTTTGCTGGTACGTATAAAGTTTGACTTGAAGATCTGTGTTCCGGGGGATCAGGTGGTTACCCCTTACAATTAGTGCTCTTTGTCGTGTTGCTACAATTCTGTTTTCGTTGCGGCTGAACAAAATGATTGAATTAGTTGTTGTGACAGAAGACAACAGATAATTACTACTATCGAAAAACATGACAATGAGATGTGGTATAGCGTTAGATGAGGGCAATAGTCAGCGGTACACCAGCTGACGCTAGGATAACTCAGGCCATTAATGGCGGATAATAGTAACCGAGTCGTTAGCAAAGGATCGAGAAGGACTGATAAACATTTGGCCAGATTGACCGTAATTCAGTGGTGCTTCGGTGCTTTCGAGGAAATAAGCTATTGCCAGCGGCAGACTCTTAGAAATCGCATCATGGTTGCAGAAATTCAGGCTCAGCAGGCATGTAGACAAAAAAATGGCTTATGAGATATTCCGCTAGAATAAATCTGTGGCTTCTTCTTATACCACATGTGGCACTTTCAGGTCGGGAAAGGCGTAGATAGGACCTTATAAAGGCTCAAAGATTGTCCCGTATTTATGCGCGGACGCCCGAGGAAACCCATGTAGGAAGTCCAAACAGCTCGTCATGACCCATAGCGACAGTGAAAGGCAATTCTGAACAGTTTTGGCTTGATGTAGTCAGCTCTTTGCGCAATCGCAACACCTAAAATCTCGTCCAAATACCTCTCGCATGTCATTTCCGTCATGGTAAACTCGTACAACCCCTATTTTCACGAATTTTCGAGGAGCTTCATTTTCACAGAATCGGCGGATTTTTTCGATTCCTTCACCGACCCTTTATTCCTAACCGATCTTCCGCCTAAAAAGGCACCTCAAAATTATCGTGAGCTGTTTATATGCTTCAGTGAAGGAAGCTTTTGCGGAATTTGGGGTAATATGAGATCCCATCAGGTGCAAAGTTGCACTGACCTGAAAAAAAAGGAGTTTTTAACGAAGATCGCACTGCATTTTTTTGAGTCTGCACGTTTGTTGCTTGCGTTGTATGGTCCCCTTTTTCTCATAGTACTGTAAAAGCCGTATGTATCATAGTAGCCTTCTCCTCTTCATAAAAGTTTGTTGATTCTTCTCAGCAGGTAGCAGTTGGTATGTATTGTACTGTTGTTGACAGACACTTGACCTGGACCTGGAGTTGATGCAGCTCGTTTGAACTGTGCATCAAATCCCTTCATACATGATGAAATGTATTGTTATAACAAATAACAAATTTCATCATATTCAATAAATAAACAGATCATTATATCAAAATAAGGGCATTGGCACTGCGTCAGTCTGAAGCTTTGATATCATATATATTATATTTGTTTATTCATGTATGTTGTTAAGGTCATTACATGACAAGCATGTGTAAGGAAAGGTCAGAGTTGAAGTCATAGCGTATTCAATTTAGGCTCAAAAGGGAAGATCAAGCATTGCCAAACATCAAGCAGTACTTTGTTGAGTGTCCTGGACGAGATGCTAAGTACCAGGTGAATGGTTTTCGCTTTGAAGAACATTCCACAAGTTAAGTTGTAATTTACCTACGTTTACTCCATGTCGACTGAAAAAGCTAGAAAGTGGTTTTTCGAAAGAGTGAAAATATATAGGGCAGCCGAAATTATACCCAAAATGTCTTTGTGTTGACCAGACTGGGCTTTTTCTAGTTTTACTGAAATTACATATTTCTGAGAGAGTGATCAAATAATTTTTGTTCTAGTTCAACGAATTTTCGTTATCAAAATAGTTTCAACTAGATTCAGTTGAGTTGAACTCGAAGCTCATGTATCATCGGTCGTTCGCGGAGTTCTCAAAAACAAAATTCATTGCAGGCTGTTGTTGAGTTGTACAGCGGGCTGACGATAGCGTCTTGTGTGATTTTCACTCATACCCGAAGAAGCGCGTCATGGTTAGCGGAACGAATGATAGAAAAAGGACATTCGGTTCGTTGCCACCCGTTCCTGAGGCCATCAATTTTGAAAAAGTACATGTTGGCTTATCGGTTGGCCTATCAAATCTGTATTGTTCAACAGGTGGGTGTTCTGCATGGGGAAATGTCTGTTGAAGAACGTGCTGAATCGATTCAACGATTCAAAGATGGTGACTTCAAGGTTCTCATCACGACCAATGTATGCGCTAGAGGTAATTGACAGCTTATTTCTTGATAGGTGTGGTTTTCCTACAATGGTGTGAACATGATCAGTAGCTCTCTAGAAACTATTTTTCCGTAAAACGATTCTTTTTGGGATTTGTGTTTTTGTTTTTTGTTTGTAGGGCGGTTGTTAGGCGAGAACGTAATCCCTAGGAGAAGGCTCATGCTCATATTTTCTTTGTTTGAACGAATTGTCTCGACAGTTGATGCATCATATGTCGACCGGTTAGATATCAGGCACTGTTTACCTTTGAGATTGGCTTGTGTGATTAGGGCCTCAAAGAAATGGTATACTTACTTACCGTATCTCGCATCCGTATCATAGACTGGGCAATTAGCATTAGTGAGACAGTTAGGAGGTATTGCGAAATGAGTTTGTTGCTTTTTCCATATATAAAACACTTCTTGGGAAGTAGTCTTTGGGCTAACGTGGAGATCTTGAAATGGCATGAAATGAGAAAGAGTTTCAGTGCTCCGATGTCTAGTTATTCTCGTTATAAGAATGACTATGAATCGAGAGAATGCTAATGTTCAGGTATCGATGTTACACAAGTGACTATAGTTATCAACTATGATCCACCGTTGTTATACGAGAATCCCTCTGAACCTGACTATGACACGTACCTTCATCGTATCGGACGGTAAGCGGAATTTCAAGGAAATGAGTTTGATGTTGTGCTTATTCTTAACAATTGCGTTATCAGTTTGATTTGTTTTTGAACTTCATTCTTCTGGCCAGTTGTTTTTTGATAAGAGCTTGTTGCATAGTTGAGATTTGATCTGTTCATCTTGAACAAAAAAGTTAAGAGTACATCTCTGCTCACAATTTCAACAGGGTGCTGTTGCGTCGTGTAAAGTGGGCCCCAAATTGCTGGCGGGTTGCATGTAGCTATAGAGTACTAAGGTTGACGAGTTATGGATTCAACTCGGCCTCGGGCGGGAGACAAACCCGTACTTGCGTTATCCGGGCATTTGAATTGAGTCGATGAGATTGAGGCCTCCAATGCTCATTCAGCAGAAAGCGTGAATGTTAAGGTATTCACCTCAAGGATAAATAGTAGGATCACATTAACCGAACTTCAGTCGGAAAGGTACAAGTATGGCTGCTGCGCTTACAAGAGTTTTTGATTTGGCTGAAAATGAACTCATCGAAGAAAGGATTAGGCGCTGCCCAATAACAAATGGTTGTCTGTGTTTTACATCCCATTACAATTTTGAATGGTGTCTAGACAACTTTCATGTCAAGGTCTACACACTTCGCAATAGTTCCATGAAAAAAAAGCAGGCCGTGCTGGATTATTGAGCAAGTGTGACAACTGGTGTTCAAAGCTGAGTGAAGGTTTTACCTCTTTTCCTTGATTTTCTTTGGATGTCGCCTAATGGCCATCGTTGGATGCAAATAATGCTCTAATGGAAGCAATGAGAACGGGTTAGACAGCAGGTGGAAAAGATAACAAATATGGGTAAAAGCTGATAATATCCATTTAAGCGAAGACAGAAGTTGGGGTATGGATGCGGATAATGGTTTTCTTTTCGTCTTTCCTTCTTTTCCTCTCTTCCTTGCTCCTTTTTATCCATACGCCATTTAGAACTGGTCGCTTCGGCAAAGCTGGTATAGCAATTAACTTTGTGGACAGTCGTGAAGCGCTCGTCATTATCAAGAAAATTGAAGCTTTCTTCGGTATGTTTCTGCTTTTCTCGTCATTTTATTTCGTACCCTTTGAAAGCTGAGTCGGAGTAGGCTCCATTTTTTATGTTTTTAGGAAAGCCGATCCCCAGACTCGACCCAAGTGATCTCGAGCAGCTAGAAGCTGTAGAGAACGACTGAGTTGTAAAATGTTCTTGAGGTAGCGTGAGAAGTGCAATTGTTTAGGATTTTCTTTTGTGTTTTTTTTTTCGTTTCTTCATCGCCTATGAATTAACAGGTATTCTTGTGCGTGTGTTTTGACGTTCAATGTTTTCCTTCACTTCCTGTTTGGCTTAGCTCTCTCGTGCCTTAAGTTTTATATTGACTTCACTTTTTTCTTTTTGAATTGCCTTTTATGAATTTTTGGTCCTTTTTTGTTTTTGGTGATATTCTGTGGCATTACTTATTGGGTAAATCACAAAATGTACTTTACGACGTTCTTTCGATGTGCTTGGGTAGTTGTTTTAGGTTTTGTAAAAATATTGTATTAATTACATAGTGCCTTTATAGAGGATATATTCGCATAGAAGCGTATACAGCATACATATATTCACCCAGATGCATATACTTATTATATTAACAAATAAAGTATTTTATAATAAAAGTATACAAAAAATTCCTTTGCTTGTTTCGAAATGAGATGACGTGATTGGTTGGAATGGCTTGATAGCTTACTTCAGGAGATTTTTTCAAGTCCAATCTTTTTTTGGATGATTTTTTTGCAAAAATCTTTCTTGAGGCTAGGATTTTGAAACCAAGATGGTTCAAAGCTCGGCGGAAAAGTGGTCTGAATTGTGCATATGAAGCATGTTGCAGACTATAGCCGTTGCTTTGCCGAAGTGGGTTTCTTAGTTGTTGTTTGCTGAATACCAACAAGCCACTGGTTTAGTTTGATAGTATTATTTCGAGCCAATAGAAGTCCAATCAAGGGTGGCAATTAACTAATTACAGCTACTACCAACCGCTTTGACCTAATGTACTCGAACTTGAATGCAAACTGTGACCTCATAGGAACCTTCTTCGATATTCCCTCATACAGACACTCTGGTGGAATGATACATCGATTAAATGGACGATACTTCTGTACAAAAAATGGGTTTCGGATGATTTCAATGTCGAGGCCTAAACCACTTCAAAATTGCCTCCAAAGTTTTAGTTCAAGGTGAGTTTGGAAGCTTTGCTCTGTAAATTTATGTTTGAACATTCGGAATTGAATGATAGAGGTGGAACATAGGCCTATGAATAGCTTTTTCCCCTCTCTGAGCCCTTGTATTGTTTGTTCTGAACCGATTGGAAAAGTACCAGAGGTGGTGCAGTGGCAAGTGGCGCACTACATATCTCACACGCATGAATACGGGTTTGAATCTCGGATTGATATCCGTCTAGGCTAGCTAAGTCTTCCACCCCTACGAGGTCAGTAAATTGGTACCAGCCTTGTCTAGGAGGATAAATGCACTGAGTTGGACATCGGCTGTTTACCGCAAGCTTTTGTATGGGTCACATATGCATTTAATCCGCCACTACGATTCTCATGGAAGTCGACTTTGTGGGCGCATCCTTCAGATGGAGTTCATCAAGGCCTCAAGACGTTGTTCATTGTCCTTCATGTTTGGAAATTGCGGGCATGATCGTCTTTAACACCTCCATGCAAAAATCTCCTCCTTACAAGATTTTCATGCGCCGCACCGTTGATTTCCTTTTTTTTCCTTTTCAGTTTTTATTTTCATTCAAAAACGCATGCCATGCACATCTTTTAAACCGTTTCCCAAGTTTTGCTAGTTGGACATCTGAATGTTCGGGTGTTATCAGATTCCCAGATGGCTTCTGCGTTGTTCTTTTGGTTGCCCAACTGCAGAGTTTGTTTACGCTGATAAGAACGGCATGAGAAGCACTAGCCACTGTCGCTACACTTTCTGACCTTTTTGAAAGAACTCATAACAGGCAGAGAGACAAAGAGGACTCACATCGTTGTATCGTAACAAACCAAATGGGTCGAAACGCCCGGACAGGCTGTAGACGTTTTATTCAAGCGGGACCGGAGTCCATCCAATTTCCGCGACAAAAAAAAGCTGACGATTTCTTGCGACGTAAATGGTTGGTAGTGGATGGGCGCAATTCGTCCCTTTTATGGTTTTCGCCACACGTGCGCTCCATTTTCCTTCCATTCAGCCGGCCTCTCGTTCTTCACCAGTCCATCTATAGCACGTTGCCTTCTGCATTAGACAGCTCTTTTGTGCTAAAGACACATTCCGCCATCAGTCTGCCATGTCTCCGTTCAAGCCGAAGATAGCTTTCTTTGATATCGATTCGAAGGCTGGGTTCAACGGCGAAGTTACTACTTGAAAATAAGAACTGCACTTCTCAAAGTCCACCTGGGAGCAGAAACACAGCGTTATCATTTTGCCATGTCACCCTTTCAAGCCAAAGACAGCTTTCCTTGAAATCGATGTGGGGCTGGGTTCAGGGGCAAAGTTAACTCTGGTGTGATAGCTTCCCAAAAGTCTATCTGGGAGCTCGTGAACTACTAAATGAGCTGAAGGATGTAATGATGGGATGGGCCAGTTAATTAACTGCACTCAAATGATCGGATTTCATGGAACTGATCCGAGGCCACCATTGTTGTATTACTGCCAGCTCCCGTCCGCTTAGGGATTCCAGACCGCATTAGCGTTTTGTTCTTTGTACCGAGCTGGATGGTACTTCGTCGATGGGACGGGATTTAATGGGAAAGGCTCTTCTAATCTTGCTAGATAGGCCTTTAAGCCTTTTTTCGTAGAAAAGTTGTATTTCCGCAAGAAAAATTGCTGAAACTAACTAGTAAGGTGTTGTTCATCTGACTTGCTGTTGGCAATCTTTCAGACGGTTAGACAGTGCCATACCAAATGGTGCCAGCACTCAACGAATAAAGACAGAACTTCTTTCTATCAGATCCAACCGGGTGTCTAAGTGAACCTCATTAGGGAGACCCAGGTCGCTGTCCTTAAAAGCAGAAAAAAGTTTCTCACCAGTTCTTTCAACAGAAAAAGGTCTGCTCAGCTCGCTTCGTCGATATCTCTGGTCGATGGACTGCATTACCATCTCGACTCTGTGGAGAGAACGGTGGAATCCTGTCTCGATGTTTTTTTTTGCCCACCTGCAGAACCCCTCCGATGTAAACCGATGCAAAGAACCAAAAATAACGAGAATGGGGGCAAAGTTGGGTAGAACAGTGGGAGAGGGTGCCAGCTAGCCATGTAGTGTGCATAACATCAGTCTTATTTATTTTGTGATCCGAGAAACTCGAAAAAATGACGAAGTGGTTCGCTGAAGTACCAGAAGGGCTTATCCTAGAATAAACTTCATTAAGCAACTTATCTGCTTCAATGTCGAGGTTGTCTTTTCTCTCTTTTCTTTTTTCAACTACTACTTCAATCATTTTATTCGCTAGATTCTCAAGAAAGAGTATATGTAGCTCTAAGTGCAACCATCATCATGAGACTGCTAAGCGAACGAGAGCTGGTAATAATTCATGAGCGGTAGTCCCGCTGGAGGATCGGTTCCATGAAATCCGATCGTGTAGATGCATTTAATTGCTGTCGTCGACGGTGGTGGTGGTGGTGGCTAGGCTGGTCAGGCTACTAAAGGGTCATGCTCAGATGTTTGGACAGGCGCCGCGGGGAGCTGGAGCAGCTTCATTCAGTGTGCAGTCTTCCCACGCGCCATAGCACAATACCCCCCGTCCGTTCGCCGACGCCGTTATGCCTCTTCCACCACCCCTCTCATCATTTCAAGCATGATTTTTCAGTCCCGTCTGACCGGCAAACATCCCTGCTGCTATGAAAAATCGTAAATGGCCTCTTCGTTTTGGGCTATCCGTTTTGCTGCTAATTTCCTATCCCCGGTAACCCACATTTGTTTCCGGAAAATTATTGACGATTGTTCGGGATATCTGCTTGTCCTACCTCCATATTTCATCAGACATTCGGAAATTGGAATTCGCTATCTTTGAATACGATTGTTCACATTATTCATGGCCTATTTATGGAAACCGACGATTTCAGCGTTTTTTTTTTGTACCCTAAAGCCTTTCATTTTAGAACCTGTGGTTAAGTTGTAGTAGTATTTCCTTCTGGGAAGCCTCCATCAATCGCCATCCCCACAACTCTTTTGAAGTTGAAAAAATGGATTTGGGGGTCTATTGAAGTGAGCAAACCCGAGTACTATCTCTATCTTTCCCTAATTCCATGAGGCTTCCTAGATCACTTCCAAAGTTTTCTTTCTTATAGACAACTATGAGGAACGGAATTGTGGGTGTTCGCCCTGATTGGCCTATTCTTCTGACATTCAATAGCAGTTGTGGGTGTATTTAACTTCCAGCTCGCATTATTCAACTTGTCGAGTCTCTGCAATTACCCACACGACAGCTGGGATTTATGCCAAAGTTTTTTTCCTACCATTCAGTTAGGCATCATCGCATTCAATCAGCAATTAACCACTAGTAATTGTAGTCTCGCCAGAACAATGACCCTGTGAAAGGTGTAAGGAACAGAAAGTCTTTCTAGAAACTGCTCAACCATTTCCGCAGAGCTTAATGTCTTTATGTTAGTAACTTCAGCCAATTGACCAAGCTACAGGCATCCAAGGTACGCCGTGTACTCGAACTCCATTCAGAATCGTTGAAGGTACAGATCTGCATTACTTAGACGAGTTACTCAGCTAGCCATTTCTCATCGTCTACAGTTCTGCCGCCTGTACACGTCTGGATGTTTTTGATTGCCTTCATCCTTTATTCATTCTCCAAATATAGTTGGTTGTCTGTAGGTCACACAGACCTCATCTGTCCAAAGGGGTGTTCCTATGACGACTGCACATTTTGCCTGTTGTTCTGCCTATGTTTCTGCTTCGAAGATGAACCAAAAAAGTCTGAACTTGGAGTTGCTGGATTATCTCAATTTCTTCCTTATCGTGTCTTCATTTTTTTTAAAATTCCTTTGAAGTGAGATGTTATTTTGCGACGATGCTTAGCTGTAGACGCTCAGGGACGTCGCTAAGAAGGTGCGGCTCACTTAAGCGAAATCATGCCAACATTCTTCCCATCGAAGCTTAAACGTCTCGAGTTCTCTATTCCCGCTTTCATATGAACAAAGTCCCAGTCGCTCTCGGGGAGCCGTCTCAGGGAAAGTGGCTTCTTTCAGTTGTGACGGTGGGAAAGACATTTTTCTCACACTCTCTCCAAAGCTGTTTTGCAGTGACCAAGGACGTTCTGTGCCTCGGAGCCTATTTCAGTATTTCGAACAATATCAACGATCTTCTATTTGTTTTTGTTCGTTTATTAAAATAAACCCGAAAATACACCCGAGGGAGGGGAGGGGAGGAGGGTGAGAGGGGGTAATACATTCATAGCAGTCCTCACCTGAGTGGAAATCGTCCTATTTTAATTTTTTTGAGAAAAACCAAAGGCGAAGAAAAAGGAGTAAACAAAGTTAATAAAAAACAAAGCTGTAGAGGAGAGAGCAGAGGTTTTTAGGTCCAGTGCTTCGGATTTTTGCTACTCCTGCAAGTAGTTTCCATATCTGTTTTGAGTATCAACCCCTGAATTCTGGTTTCTGATTCATGCAGAAGAAAGTATAAAGGCATGTCTGGGGTGGCACTGTCCCCTTCAGAACTGCCTTTTGTTTGAGGTAAAGGGGCTCATTAGTTACTGGAGAAAACGTTTGTTCTTCTTCTGTGGAAACAATTGACCGATTGCTGCTATAAACCCTTATGGCAACCAGTAGACAACCAGCCAGTCTTCCATCATATGGAAATGGTAGAAGTAAATGAGGACCGGTCCATTGGTACATTCCTCCTAGGCAACCGGTAGAATTATCTAGTTCTATTGTTTCATTCACCCATGATTTCCTTCCAAGGCAAGGCTATTCAACTGAAACATTTCGCTTTAATCTGACTATAAACAATTGTTGGCTGGCAAAGATGAAATGTCTTGTATCACCCGGAGATCTCTCTCCTACGGCGACTGTTCTTCAGAAGTTTTTGCATCCCCGATATTTTTCTGCGGTGCCATTCCTTCAGAGAGGGGAAAAAATGAATGAATCGGTGGACCGTACGAGAGTCGACATTTTGTAGGAATCCCTAGCAAATGCCATGAAACAGCACCGTGGAGCGATAAAATCGAAAAAACATACTGTAAGTTGTGTCGNCGGAGGAGGAGCCCAGTTTTAAAGGCGTGAAAGATCGTTTTGAAGGCTGTAAATGCTCAACGGCAGGAATAAATGTAAAAGAAAGGACTTTTACGGGTCGGTGCTGTCATGGTGGCCCTTTCGGGAGGGGAATGTTTCATTTGAAGAGGGAAAAACTGAGCTCAACTTGCTCACAGTTTTCAGAGGGAAGGATCGGTTTTAGCCATCGATGAGTTCCTTTTTCCTTTTTATTCTATTTTCTCTATATAAATGAATAAATAAATTAATAAACATCTTCCTAATTACTTGCTATTACTGACTGTGGCGTTTAGTAAACAAATAAACAAACCCTGCATAACAAACATCCTGCAAAAAGAACCTTGAGTTCGGGTCACAAGTCGAAGGGATTCAAGAAGTTTTCATCAGTACAGGAGGAATTCCTGTCCAGCTCTCCCACTCCCACACTTTCTACGTCTCCATCCCATCGTCTTCCTATCCCTTACCCATCAAGCACCTGTTTTTCTTCCGGGGGACATTGTCAGAGCACCACCGATGGCGTGTGTGGTGTGTGTTATTGTTGGCGACTTTATTGGCCACTCAATGTCGCATAATCTTACAGTAATCCGGTGATGGATGACCGTCAGCGGTCAAGGCAGCGCTCCTCTCTNCTGTCTAGACACTGGTACTTCACTGCACTGATTATTTGGTTGCGTGAAAGTTCTTCAAGGTNGCAATTAATGACCTGTCCATTGATCACGATATTTTATCGCTTTGGCCAATCAAATCTTCGGTAAAGACGTAGGAAATCTCACTGGACGAACTCAGAGTCTATTTAGACACTGAAAAACTTTACTTTGGAGTATCGAAGCCGGTCAGAGTCTGAGAGAAACTCAGAGAATCGTGCTGGTGCTGGCTGTTTGGGTAGTGTCTTTGTATTCAGCGGCACTTTCTCGTGAGTTATGCGTAATGTCGCAGAGGAATATTCCACAGATTCCACAGAATTGTAGTATTTCATGCCCAAGAGCCCTTTCACAGAAAGACAGCAGTCAAGTGACTGCAGTAGTTGAAGTTGTAAAGTTACGATACAAAGCAGTAATAGAGGAATGCTGTCCTGTTGGCCAACGTCCAGCTTGAACTTCCTCGAAAAGGTTCCCTATAGGTTATAAGCATGTATGGTAGTTTTGATACTTGGAGGTAAAATTCTGATACTTAAAAGTAAATTCTGATACTCAAAAGGGGAGTTTTTTTTGGAGGGCTCTGTTAGACTGGCTTTTGTCAATGGCTTCTGCGGATTCGGCTTTTCGCTACTTGGACCGATCCTGTAAGGCTGAACTTTGAGAATCTTGAAAACAGCGTAGAATGACCTGTATATCCCTCTTGTATCGTTGGTAACTAGTTTGCTCGAGCGGGTACCGGTAACATCCCCGCTCTGCCCTTCCGCTGCCAGCTATTGTGCCCAACACAACTTTCTCGAATTTCCTTCGTATACTTTACTTCAAATTCGAAAATATTTTGCGCGAGGGATGGACTTTGTATCCTTACACCTTCCGCAGAACTTTCTGGATCGGTCAGAGTGGGACTGATTACTCATAAGTGTCGTCCTGTCTAGACACTGGTACTTCACTGCACTGATTATTTGGTTGCGTGAAAGTTCTTCAAGGTAGCCGGGTTTCCTCGTGATACACTCAGCAACTTCTCGGTTTGATAGAAACCGGCTTCTTCTATCGACTGACTGCACATCTTTCAGCCTGCTTGCTTTGAAGCCACTTCCCTAGGTAACGGCCCATCACTCACCTTGTTCACTGCTTGTTCCAATTTAATCCAGAAAGCTTCATCTTCGTGTAATCAAAAAAGGGTAGTAGTTGCGTCGTGGGTATCCGCCCTGTTTGTTTCATTCGAGTAATGCTTTAGAGTCTACCCGTTTACGAGCTCAAATTCACACCGTAAATCGCTATGAAGTCATTCATTTGTGGACTTGGTGGCTGGCTGATGTTTTAGGTGGTAGGTAACTTTATGATTTTTGTAGTCTCATCCTCAGGACCATGGCACAGACACATGCTGAGACCATTAACTACTTAGTGGAAGAGAAGTGAATTTTTTCTGTTCAATTGGTGGGGCCTCCTGTTTCATCCCAAATCGAAGGTCCGAACTTCATAGTCGCAATTCAAATTCTCACTTTCTCTTCATTCTATTATTTTTTATTATTGTTAGCTACTCATAGTGAACTTTCTACATTGTTGGGACTTCCACAATCGTCTGCTATATAACCAATCTGAAGAAAGATTGGCAGAAAGCGAAGTTCCAATCTTTTCTAAAGACTGTAGAAACCTTTACACGTGCAACGCAAGCAATTTGGCTTCGTTTTTGTCCAAGTCCCTGATACTACTAGAAAGTTTTTGTCTTAAGCGGTGAGAAAGCCTGAAAAGCGTTATCATTTCGGCCTTCCTTTTTAAAAGGTGGCTTATTCGAATTTGACGAAAATTACGACCCCTACCCCTATCGTCAGAAATACGACCCTAAAGTGTAAAACAATAACTGGACTGACGTTGACGTTGTCAAAATCCACTATGTATTTAACTTCACAATTTGATTTTTCCTCCCATACTTACTCTTTTCATCACCCTCTTCTTGAAGTTCCAAATGAATCTTCTTCCCGAGGTAGCCTAATGCGATTTCCTTATCAGAATAGTCTTCGATCAACAGCTCATTACTAATCTCAGTATGTTTATACATAATCTTTGGTATTTCTTTAAGCTTCTGAAACTGATAAAATGTTCTCCATCAGTGACACTTCGGCAAAATCGCTTTCTCCAGAGTCTGTAAGAATGAATGTTTACTTGGGATCATTTAACCACTAGCCCCGGAATCACGAAAAGGAATTCTGGAAGAGATACAAAATTCGTGTGCTTGAAACATTTTCACAGCCAGAAACCATTATTCAAGTTTTGACTGATCAATAAAAACCCGCCCATGATTGCTTGATCTGGGATATCTTCAAGAAGTGCTATATAAACTTGCCTTCCCGATTGTTTCCACTGAAAATTTGTGTGGCTGATAGATAAAAGGGGTTTTGAACCGGCTTAAGCGCAGATTTATCCAATATCCGAACGTTCCCCCGTGTAATTTCTGCAAAACGAGTTTCAGATCCCTTCCTGGCCTTCCGATGTGGGTGCCCATTGCTTTACGTTCCTTTCCCTTACCCTCTCCCTCTCTCTTTCGTTACAGATATTATTCGTCGAATATCGAACGATTCGGCTGCATGTTTAAAGCATGTGTCATCGGTGCTCAGATAGCGAATGCTTTTGAAATTACCGTAATCGCGAGTGTCGCCGTTCAGCTGCTTCATCCNACACACACACGCACAGGCACGCACTGGGAGCAGGAACGAACCGGAAGCTGTATTGTTTTGATGAGCCGAGGCACAAGCTCCAGCTCATCATCAGCGTCACACCTGTTCCTGCCGACGGTTTCTTCTTCCTTCGTACCGGTCCAACCGGTACCTCCGTCAGTGGCAAAAGAAGTTGTTAGCCAACCCTGAGAATTGTCGGCTGGACTAGCTCCCGCTTAAAGAAATAGAATTAGGGTAGACAATTCGCAATTCCAAAAGCTAATGGCTGGAGTTTGGGAAAATTGTGGATAATTGTCAGGGCATTATTTTTGATTGGTACAAATAAATATTTATAGAGGACAGAATCTTCCAACGTTGATCAGTCCTTTTCTCTGGGATGCGCCCCGCATTGGACTTCCCATCAGCATCGCAGTGGTATTCTGAGCGCGTAACAATGACATGGGGTAGCCAGCCAATGGGCAAGTCAGTGCTTCTGCCCTCCCAACGAGTCTGGTACCAGTTAACCGACCCAGAGAGATGAAGGCTCGGACGGCCTGGGCGAGTATCGATCCGAATTCGATCTTTTTACAGATAAATATGCATATGGTGTACAGTATAAGTATCACCGATTTCCTATTGACGTGACCCATTTAAGGTGGTCCTAAGAGTACAATTCATTACCTACTCGTGAAAAAAGTAATCGATTAGTTAGTCAGATGGTTAATACTTCTTTTGGACTACCGTAAATGGGTCGCAGAGTGGTGGCATTGACTGCTCTTGATGGATTACTTGTAATAATAACGAGTTTTAGGGTGGTGTGCAGTACTGCCAAAACATTAATTACTCTTGCAAACAAAAGCCAACTTATACATTCCCCACATCGATATCTTTTTTAATCATCGATTGGGAATACCTGGTGATTTATCGGTAAATGTCTCTGGACTGACGTCCCTATGCCTCTGGTTCAACTTTTTCACAACCTTTGAGTCATAGTGCTGGAGCTGACTGCTACCAAGTAGGTTTAGAAGGATAATGGCCTCTAAAAAGGTTTCGCCTTTCATAACAGCGCAGAGCTCTATAAATTTTCCAAGTTGAGCTACGCCACGCATATGACTTTCACTGAGAATGGCTGACTGACGGTTTGAATGGGTATCCCTCCATGCAATGTTCTGCTTTTTTACTAGATTGATTCCTGTTTGGACGAATCTTTAATAGAGGCTGATTTTCCTAGTACTTGCGATAATCCCATCAATAATGCCTTTCTGTCTGCACGCTTTCCTTCGAATGCCTAGCGTTAGCTGTTGAACTTTTTCCCACTAGCTTTTCCTCTTTCTGTTGTCAGCAACGGATCGATTTCCCAGCAGAAAAACCTCCCTCTACATGCTCGGGGTACGTTTTTCTCAAGCCCGATGCCACAACCCTGCACGCCGTTGCTTACTCACCCATGGCCGGCACTGTCATGTTGTTGTCAGCGTTGGCATAACAAAAAACCTGACGATACATTCTGCTTTATGAATGAAATCTCCTTGAGAAAACCTCCACTGCCCTGATCTGACCACCTTCAACACCTTCGCCTAACTTGCGCACTTTTTCATACCCCACCCACACCCTTTCGATTTCTCGGAATATTTGTCAGCGTAAGGGCGGCGCCCCCTTCTCGGTCCCCAGCGGTGGCGCCTCCAATCTCCCGTGATAATGAACATTTACATTATTGATTGATTGAATCGATGCCGTTTGGCGGTCATAATCAATAGTTGTCGATATTGTTGACAAAATGACAACAAAAATGAAATGCAATCGATCACTGATGCTCGTTCTTATGTGACCTTTTGTCTGTACGGAACATCTCGTTATCGTCAACGATGTTACCCGGTGGTTCTGTCCTTGAAGCTGTTCACTTGACCGTGTGCAACCTTCCGCCATGCACTTTTTCTTTCAGAGAACGTGTTCCTTTCGTTTTCATCCTCCTTCCTTTTTCCATTTTCGTTTGTTTTCTCGTATTTCTAATGACAGGCCGTTGTGGAACGGCTTTGTCATCACTTCTTTCAAGGGCTGGTATTCATCAACATGGGTGTCTGTAATAATTTGACTGGAGTGACTGGAGTCTTCTCTAGAAGCTTCTAGGATTCTAGGATTTTCACAGAGTTTTTCACTACGTTAATTCGTTCACCATACTTGAAAAAACCGTTTTGTTGGTTTTTTTTTCTTCGGTATGGATTTCTAAACGTAGATCGAAGTTCTGGTGGCATACGCCACGTCCTTGTGATACCATGAAAAAGGCTTCATCATTACGATCTACAGGATTTTTCTGATAAATGCGTTCCATCCACTGCCATTAGACTCCTCTTTTTGGCCATTTTTCTAGAAAGGGGCAATCAGCGAGGAGGGAACTACAATAGATATAACAGCCGCAGACTTTTTGATGGAACTTCAAACAATATTTTTCAGAATATTTATCAATGACGGCCTTTATGTCTCCTTTATGAACACGAATGCTTCTTTAACCGTAAGAAAGAGTGGTCTTTCGACTGACTCGAATATGACCCTGACAGCCCAGTGTAGAGCAGGTGCAGCTATCCAAATGAGTAAACTCAGTGATTTTCTAGCCTTGATCCAATTTCGCCTAGTTTCGACATCGGGTACACTTGGTCTTGTTTTACGGCTACCGGAACCACCCAGCCTAGTTTCAGATCTAGGGAGCTGTAATCTAAGTCTAGAACAGACCTCCTGCGATAATGCATAACCTGAACTCTGGACTGTTGAGGGATCATATCTGTCTTGGGGTTACCTACATGCATGTTGAGGTCGTCCTCACGTAATGAAACACTGACCGTAATTCCTTGAGGGAACCCCACCGCGCCGTTGCCGGAAAAAGTTAATGTGGCGGTACTTAGAGGTGATCAGCCAGTTCTTAGCCCCACGTTCCGCTCCTGTTACAAAACGTGCACGGCTAACGACGGCGTATTTGTTCTAGGCAGTTTAATTGTTTTTACTGAAACTTTATAGCATTTTGCTCACTCCATCATGGAGAAAGTTTCCGTGCAAGGGAGAATGTGATCATTCGGATTTTTTTAAGGCCAAAAGGCGTTCTCCAGTCGTATCCGCAAGTTGCGCTATGCTCATAAAATGGCAATAAACCTTCGGGGGTACGTCTGCAAAGTAAAAGTGTTTCGCTAGGGATTTTTTCGTGATGAGACATCTCAGGGAGTGAACTGAGCCATATTCAGATCGTTCGTCGCTCTTCGTCAGATTCTGAACGGCACTCTTTCTTCCTTGCGGCGATCCTAGCTAGTCTTTCTGTGGAGTCTGTTGGATACTTACTTGTTTCGGGATTTACTCAATCTCATGTGTGGAAGTGGTATAGTGTTCGATGGTATACTGCCACTCGTATGGTCACGGGTTTGTGTCCCGGATCGATATCCAGCTAGGCCAACGAAGCTTTCCATCCCCTCGGGTCGGGTAATTGTTACCAAACTTGTCTAGGAGCATGAGAACATTGACTAGTACATCGGCTTGTCTCTGCAATTCGTTGTATAGGCCGCATACGGCATTAGAACGGTTCTGAATGGAAGTCGAGTGAGGGGCACATCCCAGAAAAGGGAAGATTAAACTGGGAACGGTATCCTCCAGGGCTTTTCTATTCATCCATACATCTGCAGAATAACCGGCTCTGCTGCCGTGCAAGAGAAATGAAACTGAAATTGTTGGTTCATTTCTTCGTCGTTCTGTTTACTCAGCTCTTCATACAAGCTCGTCTGGAAGTTTTATGACATTTTTTGTTCTTTTATTAGTTTCCGTCCCAATAGGATGATATTTCCCGTGGTTCCCCGGCAAATGACGAAATTCAAAACAGATTATCTCCTTGGAGATATGTCTTGCGCGAACTCCCCGGGGTTGCTTACCCCTTTCTTGCCTCTTTCCTTCGTTTTCACTTCATTTCTACACCTTGATAATTCATTTCCTCCTTATTATTTCGATCAATACATATGGCTGGCATATGTGAGATGATGTAGTGACAAGTGGCTCCACTAATCCCCTTATATGGCCCGAGATCAAAATCTCGTCATCTAACCAAAGCAATTAAATCTCACACCCTAGTGAAGTGATGCCGAACAACCTGTCTGGGAGGGTAAAAACGGGAACGGGTTGCCCTATACATCAAACTATGGGTTGAATACGAAATCAAACGTAACCTTGGATGAAAGGGAGTAATTTAAACTTTTTAGAAACTTCATAAGTCAATTTACCCCGAACTGTCGAAAAAGACCGATTAGAAGGACTCTCAGATAGGGTTCAGGTAAGGAAGTCCGGGATGATAGCACAGCTATCAACTTATTTTATTAAGATTGGATGAAAACCCTATTTTTTGTTTCTTATGTTTATTTATTGTTTGTATTTATGTTTGTGTTTTTATTGACATTTATATTTGTGTTCGTATTTTCATATTTATATTTGAATCTTTTTTTCTGTGTATCATGGAGATATTGGCGATGGGCTTTTCTCCAAGTGTGTGAGTGCTCTTTGATGATTCATTGTCACTTGCGCTGCGCTAGTCTATTTCCTTCCATAATGGGAAGATTGAGTTTTCCCGAGTCATTGTCGCCTCAAATGATCCTCGAAATTCTCGTCGTTCATTTCCTTTCGGATTCTTTTCGGGCCCTTCACCCTAATCAACCCTTCAGAAGTGCAGTGTTGCTAGCCTTGACGCTTATGCTGAGCTACTTACAGTAAAGACTGCCCTATTGTGGCGGCTTAGCCAAAGGAGATTATTTTGAACGAAGGTTAAATGATCCTTGGTGCCAGCCAAGACTGTCAACAAAGCCAAACTACAAAGCCGTGTATAAAGTTGGAATCCCGTGTGAAGCTGCCCACAGCGGCCAAAGGTCATCGGCTTGGATGAGGATAGACTCGTGGTTCCGAGCTCTGCGATACAGCCTGCTTAGTTATGGCTGTCAGGAAACAACGATAAAAGTTCAGTATGTGCCCAACTTCTTACCGTATATCCGACCACTGTTGACTACTTTTGATAGTAATGAAATAACAGGTAACAGTAACGTGGTAATACGCTAAACTCAGTAAGAGGAAGGGGAAACCAGTGAACTAGATGAGGGATTACGGTAGGAATTCAAGAATTTAGGCTTATGAAAAAGTCCGCATTTTATGTTAGGGCGAGGCCAAGGTTCTTCGGCTCCATCTTCTAACTACTTCCATCACTGTTCCTTTGTAGCAACAAGCTTGCATCACTGCGCTGACCCGCTACGCAAGTGGGTTTGTGAGCGATTCCGACAAGTTTTTCGTGCCAGGACTGTTTGGCCAACAACGAGTTCTCCATCTTTTCTACTAATGCGGACTCTCACTGGATCGAATGCATATCTCTAAATTGTGGCACATAGTTGAGTTGTGGCGAAAGCTATTTCTGAAACTGGGTTCAAAAATTATGTGCATCTGCACACTCCGATTTTACTCCGAAAGTTTGGAGAGGTTTTGCAAATCGTTTAGAAGGTCTAGGTCTGAAAAATTGCCTCGTTTCGGAAAGTGCGGATCTTTTGGAGGTCAAAACGGGGATAGAAGTTAAGGAATCGTATAGAGACTTAAGTAAACTGCAAAATGGCATAGCAGATCAACCCTATGTTAGTGGCCAACTACGACGCCAATAGACGGTATATAGAGGGACACCGGGGTATAAAAAACTACTCTACTCTATGTACATTAACCACTGTACTTCAGAAAGAAATCATTCTTTCCTCAACTTTTCTCCCCCTTAAGAGCCTTGCCTTCCGATTGGCCTAGAACTACACAAAGAAACTGGTGAACGGATGCTCAACATGTCCTGCTTTATCCCACCAATGGTATCCCTTCTTTCCCATTTTCACTGTAATTACCACTTCGGGAACTTCCGATTTTCCTGACTTCCCATGAAAAAGGCTTATAGGGCGTTCTAAGAAAGGAAAAGAACTTCTAAATCTATCGCGATATACATACATCCTTTTATGCAGGCAAATTGGGTTTCTAAAAAATCCGAATCTGCAATTTCATGCAAATCCTCCCCAGCGCCGAGAAGAAACCTTAGAACGCTGCTATTGCTGTTACTATTTTCCGGCTCCAGATGTAGGGGTTGTGGTCTTTCCTGGTTGCCTAATAGCCCCTTCCGTCTCCGTCCTCAGTTCGTGCCCCTTGATTTATCTGAGCCGAGGAAACTGGAGCGATTAGAGGCGAGGGGCCTCAACGTTAGGTGGAATCTTCAGCGTACAACCAATTATTGTTTTTAGGCCTACCATAGGCCTGTAATAGGCACTCGTATAGGCCTGATGGTTGTGATTTCGTAGATATCAAGGAACACTCGATTGAATGTCTTCCATGGAAACTTCGGCGTACGTAACCATAACGACCAAGTTATTCGTCGTGAATTCGTATAAAATTGCCCTTTCTTGGACAACCCGACATAAGCTCATTTTCATCTGGTTGATGTGGTCTTTGGCTTCTGTTTACTTATTGATTTCAAA